ACCAAAGTGTGGTAGTCGTTGCTTAACAGGGCCTGCCCACTGAGCTAAGAGCTAATTTCAAAAGAGAGAGCGAGTGACAAGCACCCACTTTCATGGGATTCTTGTGAAAATAGGGTTTCGCATAATCGAGGATGATATTGTCAGGTGGTTCCAGTAATCCACGTAGTTAATCAAAACTTGGCGACAAAGTCTGAAATATCTTGAATAATGTGTTTCGGCGACTTTGTTCGAAGAAAGGTTGTTTACCAATGGGTGAGTTCACCCAGTGTAGCCTCGTGTCGCACGTTCCAATCACCGACTAGTTGCATTCCTCCAATGAGTGCAATGACCATTAGTTCGTCGTGAGTAGCATGAATGAAAACTGTATCAGGCTGCCTCTAGTAATGTGTCTGCCCGCTTTTCAAGTTGAAACGGGCAAAGTTGAGACGGGAAGCCAAAAGCGATTTTCCTGGTGCGGTAAACACTAGACTCAGTTTATCTACCACACACGGTCCAAGTGTGATCGACCCGGCACCACAATGCATAAGTGACGCAAGACAATTCACCTTGTGCGTGCTCCTGTTAGTTTTTCATGTCGTACCCACTGTGTCGTCACTAAGTTGAACTCCACAAACACGTAGAACACTTCTGCACCACACACCGCCAGGGCTGTCTTGCCTGCAGAAGATGGCGCTGTCTCCATCAAATTTATTATTTCTAATGTGGATTTGAATTGGGGGCAAATGAATCAGGGTGTAAAATAAACATTTACGTAGACAAATCATATCAAGATATAAAATTGACTACTCCTGGTACACTAAGAAGTGGGGATGTGTCCTGCTTCTACCTAGTGTGGACTGAAGGCTGCTTGAGGGCTGATTTGAGGGGGGTGGCTGTGGCCACTGGCTTTCGGCTGGGACGTCTAGGCGTTGTCTGAATTTCACTCCCTTCTTCTGCTGTCGCATCCTCTTCCTCCTCCTCGTCCTGCACCCCCTCATCATCATTATCATCTTCCTCTTCTTCTTCCTCGTCGTAATCGTACACATTTTCGTCAGCGTCATCATAGTTCCCATCACATTCATCGTCGTCGTCGTCGTCTCCTTCATCCTCTTCCTCGTCTTCGTCGTCTTCATAGTCCCCGTCATCGCCGTCAAATTTGGCGCCGTTTTTCAAACGAACTGCGCCCCTTGAAGGAAAATAATTTTCGCGGCCCTAGAAGTCGAGATTAGCATTTTGGCGTGCCATGCGTCTTTGATTATGGTAAAAAGAGCATCACAGCCTGGATAAAGCACAACGATAGCGTAATTGAGTTTGGGGATTTAATCTAGGTACTGGTGTTATTTTTGGGTTTTGGCGAAATTCCGTTCGGTGTATTTGTTTAAATGAATTCGGCAAATTCAGCATTCTCGAAAATGAATCAGTTTGATGGAAAATGGGTTCTTAAAAGTTACATGATTTTAGATTTAATCGAGGTGCTAGATTTGTGCGATTAACTTGGGAGACGATGCGATAATTGTTTTACTCTTCTGGTTCTCAGTGCGCGCCACTCAAAATTTGTTCAACTGGTGAAAAAGTACTCCACGAAAGTTCTAACAATTGTTGCTAATTGATATTTGCTGGTTTTCGACAACCCGCAAGCATTCTTGCAACGTTCCGAGTCACCGTTGATAGTTTGACTCGACAAAGCACAGTCTGTTTATCCATAACCGGTTTTGTTTAAATACGGTCATTGCCGCGAAGTTTAAAAGCCGCGAATTCCGCCTTTGTGACGCACTCTTGGTCTGACTGTTCGGCGGACGCAATGCATCGTGGAATGAACATGAACGCCAAAACAAGCCACTTAACAGCAACGATCTGGTCACGAAAGGCAAGCGATGCTGTGTCATCGTGAGAAATGCCTCGGTGTTTGCTACAATTTCGCTTTTAACAGAATGGTCGGAAAAAATCGATTTCTTCTGAACCCCAAAACCGTATCTACTGAATGCAAAAAACTTATTTCTTATTGTCCACGTGTGGAGACTTTGAGGACAAATTCCTGTGCCAAACAAAGCATGACAGGTGTGCAAAAACGTGCTTGTGCAGCCGCCGTGTTTAAATCAGACGCTCCCCGCGTTTTGAGGTCAGCCTAAGAGTGCTCAAGCAATTCGGACGCCACTAGACAACCAATTAAGCTAAAGCGCGTTATTTTGACCACAAAAAAAAACACATTTTTCGCGGCAAAGTACAATAAGTGTGTGTACAGATGTGACAACATTTGAGAATTAGGCATGCCACAAGTAACAACGTCACTCAAATGCACGAGCCAATGGGGGTGAGGGCGGGTGTCAGGATTACACCTACGCGAAACAGATGAAAAGCCGAAATGCATTAATGACCTGATTTTTTAATATAGATTTAAAAAAATCTCGCTACCTAAATCGCCTGGTGTTGTTTATGAGGCTGCAGACACACAGCAGTTAATTACGCCTTTGATCTACGCTAAATTTAACGTAGCTACGGAGTCGCTGCTGAAACGGGGCTTAACAGGGGATTAGGGGATGGTGCGGCGAGTGGGGCGACAAGCTCACCAGATTTTCCCGTCGTCGGGTGTCCGCGGCTGGTTGTGTCTGGCGACCCCTTGATTTCGGAGACGATGAGTTCAGAGCCGGAACGCTGTTGCTCTTAGCCACGTCGTAGGCGATTTGCGGACTCTGTGGGAAAGGGCAAAAGAAGAAAGGGGTTTCAGACATAGCTGTGGTGCAGCCAAAAGTCGATAGCAATCGATTTGTTTTACTGAGGCGACTTATTGCTTTACGCTAGTTTCATCAATACGTGGAGCTTTCGACTAGCACCGTGGCTCAAATTACCACAAGCAGACGGTTTTAATCAAAAGAGGACACAGACATCAGTGTTTCTGGGCTACAGTGGAATGCTAACAACTGTTTTCCACCTCGATTTCGCTTCTGTTGTGTTCTTAGGCTTAGTGATTTGTTCAACAAAATTAGGGTCTAACTGCGGGAATGAAAGATGTTCAGATGTCAAGGTCAGCTACGGCGATTTGCATTGTGGCTACTTTAAGTAATATTTCAACAGCGATTATTATGTGAATTGAAGGCAAAACACGTGCTCATCCGGGAAATTCATCTTTATAAATAAATAAAGGGCTAAGAAGATGTCAAGCATATTTTGCTACAACAAATTCCATTTTATTGATTGAAAACTTGCCTGGAAGTGGTCGCCGTCTAGACTGGCAAGGGTGCCAGAACGGAAGAGGGTGTTCCGGAAGTCGGCCAGGTCAACTTCCTCTTGCATTGACTGCACTACGTTGAATGCCTCCGTCAGCGTTTCAAGTGCTTTTGCATGCCACAGCATCTCAATATGTACAAAGTCCGTCAGTATGTCCTGCAAAAAACACACTACTAATATTCTTTCAGTAAGTAGGGTTAAAGCAGTAGCGGTAAAACCACATTGAAAATGTCCTCATGCTAAGAAATCCAGCAAATCGAATAAACCCACCTTAAGACCCTTGAGTTTTTTTGCTTCAAACTGGATGACCTGACGCTCCAGTGCGTCTGCGGACCGAGTTGCACAGCGCGTCGCTATGTTGAGACGTTCTTCTGCCTGTAGGGTAGTAATAGATGACGTGACATGTTTGAAGTCAGTTGAAGATTACACTTTTTTAAACACGATTCGACAATTGACCAATCAAACCACTCAAATCAACAGATCAAGGTCAAATCGGTGGAGTTTTAAGAGGGGACACCATTGGAAGGCGCATTTTGCGGAAATTCAACTCACGCCTCTTAAGGGCTCTCTTCCTAGACGCTTGAGCTGCGAGACCTCCTTCTTGCGCGCCGCCGTCTCGACTCTGATGTTCGTCTACAACGAAGCAGCAAGCCAAAGCCAATTCACACGCTGCATGATGGCTCAACGTCCACTATAACACAGTTGCTGGCGCATTTTCGACAGGAAAAATACAAAAAGAAGTGCAAATAATTTGTAAACCAACATTATGGTGACGATGTTGAGGGTCCCGGCAAATTGTCGTGTACCGCGTCGGATATAGGCTGGTTACCCAACTCTCAACCTGGTTGTGATGTGTTGACCGATACAGTTGAGTGGGGGCTAGTAAAGGTACAGACGTCTGAATGGCTACATCGATATGCAGGGTGGTGGTGAATGAGTAGGCTGTCCCAGTGACTGACGTGTGTGTGAGGCTGCGATGATCAGGTTGTTGGGCGTGAATTAACGAGATTTCAAGGAAATTTGTCAGCCTCTTTTCGTCACAGACGCATCTAAGTTTCATTCACGTTGAAATGAAACGTGAATTGTTTTAACACTGTTATCTCAAACCGCGCCGAGTCCACTGCGTTGATCTGGCCTGCTAACATAAAGGAAACCGGAGAGAACGAGGCACAACCGCTTCCTGCACAGCTCAATCTAGTTGTGGTGTGCTGACTGACACAGTTGAGTGCTTGAATGGTCACATGGAAAAAGCGGAAGGTGGGGGTTGAACATGCGGAGGGGTGAATGAGCTGGAGATCCGGCATGACTAACGGACATGCCGTGCAGGGGGAGTCGTGTGTGAGGGGCTGCGACGACTAGGTTATTGAATGTGAATCAACACGTAGCATACGTCACCAAGGCCGAAAAATGGAATAAAGTTAGAAAGGGAGTACATAGCCTTCTCACGAAACACCGAAATTAATTGCCGCTAATTCGGAATTAAAAAGCTGTCCTTCTAGTCTCCTCAAATTGCAATTATTGTAACTATTTTGTCAGAAAAATCAGTTTTATTTTGCTACATCAAGCATCCAACGTTTGTGCCTCCAGAGATATCTGGTATCTGTCCTCTCGTAACGCAATTCCATCTTGGAATATTGTCATCGAAAATGTGTCATTATACTTTGCATCTTGCACGTAAATACGCCCACACAAATAAAATCCGACTTGACGCTATTTAGCAAATCTGCCGTCGTTCGTCACGCAAATCACAAATGCATGCAAATAAATTAATGATTTGACCAGCTTACGTTACCACCTGCTATCAGATATCTAGACATTATGTAGCAATAATAACTTGCTCTATTTTGGGGGGGTTGAACGTGCAGAGGGTTGAATGGGCTGGCGATCCGGCGCGACTAACGGACATGCCGTACAAAGGGCGTCGTGTGTGTGTGTGGCTGTGACGACTGCGTTATTGGACGTGAATCAACACGATTCACTACAAATATCTGGGGTGCTGCAGGCAATTTCAATTTACTGACAATTTAAGTTGGTTGCTTTTTAATGAAATAAAATCGGCTAACTTTTCGAAATTTCAGAAGGGTTTGGTACACACAACAAGAATTGAGATTTATGTGTGTAGTTCATGCAATTCACGAAGGTCTCAGTAGCAAAATGCAAAAAATTGCATTGTTTTTCTGAATTTTAAGCAGCTATTTTAGAAAAGTACATTTATCAAATTCAACAATTTCGTCGATGTTATGATGAAGAATGTCAAATTTTTTGAAGGAAATTTTAATTCATGAAATAACTCACTTCAAATCCACAGATTTTGCCAGAGTTTCTAGTGTCTACATTCCACAACCTGGTGTAATCGGTTTTAGCGTAGCTTTTTAGCGTGATAAACTTAAAGGCGTAAGAAGCAAGAGTAAGACGGTAATTTGGACCTTGCGTTTCGATCGACCGAAACCATGGCAACGCTTAAACTCATTGACTAACCGGAAGTCATCAGAAGCAGACCAGAACCTAACAATGAGTTGTTGGACAAAGGCTACCAGCACATCGTTGCTAAAAACTAAAGGCTACCTTGATGCTGCACAAAAATGATTTTGACCCAAAATATCCCCTGGACTACTTAACACAGCAGCGTTCACGAAATCAGACTCCAATTCACAGTTGTACAAAATAAAACGGCTAACAGACTAAGTGCCGCTATTTAACGCAACTACGGATTAAGAAATTGAGCCCAAAGGGTAGCTTACTCACCCTCACTCGCTTTACCTCTTCCCCATAAGTCGACAGGGGTGTGATGACTTTGGCAAAAAGTCGATCCACTTCAGCATGTCTGTAATCCTCGATGGTCGACAGGAGTTCGGCAAACCTCCGCAACGTTCGGGCAGATGTCCGATTAATTTTCTCGTTGATTGAATAGTTTAAGAGGATTTTGGACAGTTCATCTCCTGGTTAAAATGAGGCACAGAGATGAACCGATAATACTAATGCATCCGTACTTTACTTCAAAATGTATCGATGCAAAGCAAAACAGTTAATACTAAACAAACAAACAGTTTCAGACTTACCGTTGTTCCGCAGTTTGGCAGTTCTTCGTGTGTAGTTAATAAATTCTGCGCAGAGGTCCCCAAAGTAGGTCTCGATTTGTGTCACCCGTTCATTGAAAAACTTGGACTGAGCTTCACTTTGAATGCAAAATATAATGCTAATTACATCTGCAATTTTACAGCAATTATAAGAAAAGAATAAACCAGAACAGCCGTGTTTTACACATATGCGTCCGAGTGTAGTAATGCGCACTTACAGGAACATCGAATGCGTGAAAAAACATGTTCCAGTGACATACAAAAAGTAATTGAATCAATTACCGTATAATAAAAATTAAAAAATTGCTTGCAAGCGAATTACTTACATTTTCTTAAGGTCATAAGGACACAAAAATACTTATTATATGAAATCAATAATTCACGAGCGCGTCGGCATAGATTACCGAGTAAGTTCTGAAATTTATGCCAATATTAAAAAACCGGGAAATTAAAGGCAATAAAGTAATTGCTTATAACTATTTGCGATTAGCCAGAAAATGTAGTAAAATTAAGCAAAAATGCTGTTAACAAGACGTTTAGCAACCTGATATATCGAAATGTTACGAACTTTTCACAAATTTGAAGTACTCTCACACATATATTCTCTAATAAATAACCCTAAATGCATTAAAAAACTGTAAAGTGAACTCCTCGCGACACCTACAAGATTTAAATCATACAAAAGTGGAACAGAAATACTACGAATAACGCATGCGAACATAATTCCTTATTAAAAAGTACATTATTGTCAAACAAGGCTGTAAAAAAGGTATTGCTTATACTAAAAAGGCTTTGTGGTGAATAAACTGACTAAAGTAAGGGAAACAATGGCTATGCAAATAATAATAATAATGTTATTTCCAAAAACAGTGAAGGACACAACCAACAAAGTTAGACATCGTTTAAATTAAGATAAGTGCATACGAATAACTCACGTCTCCTTTATTTCGGTCGTACGATGAAGACTATTGCGCAACGACTCCTGTTGCATTTTAAAGGCGCATCAGCATTTCGAAAGCACTATAGCAACGAATGGCGACATTATTTCAAACAAATAGTTAATTCGATAGCATAATAAAACCAAGCAGGCCATTATTAAGAAAAAAAGTAGTCGCTAATGATTACTTTAGTTTACTAAACCGCTTATTGTCCAGAATTTAACGTAATTCGAGTTTCTTAGGCCATCAAATATCTTAAAACTCTATTGAATCCTTTAGCTGAATTTCATTTGGACCTTGAAATAGGCGTCCTGTACGTGTCCATTATTTTAGCTACCATTATTCAAGACAAAATGGATTAATTCCAAAAACGTGAAAAAATACGTTGGTTTTCATGGACTTGATCTCAATTAATTTTCATATTTTACGATAATAATGCACTCATATTCCATGTTACAAAGAGTTTTAATTTATGCATGTCGTTCCCTTCCTTAAGGCGCAGGTGGATATTTTACTCTACAAAAGTAATTGCCAGGGTAGTATGTGTGATAACTGTCACTAAAATATTTTAAATTATATTTTCGTTGCATTACGAAATTAGGATAAGTATTATGCAGTCACATAAAGCTCATGAACTGCACAATAACATCCCCCCTTTGGTCCTAATGTCATAATGTAGTTCCAGAGAATTCCTACTTCAGCATGCAGCATATGCATTAAGTACATAACAATTGTGAGATATAATATTCTTTTCCTTTGCTTTTCTACGACGATTTTTTCCACTTTCAACAGGAAGGTTTTTTGTAGCCAATAGGCATTCTTTCATTTACAATTATTCCTACAATTAACTCAATAATAACGGCCTACGACGTCCACTCATTTTTTTGTCCACCATTAGATAAACGTGAAATAAAGAATCACTTTACTAAATTTAATTCAGTTACCGCAAATGCAATTTGACTTATCTTCACAAATTAGGAGACAAAAAATAAAATTACTCGCAATATAAATCAATTAAAAGGATTCATTCATTTGCCTTAGTGCGATAAATCCCTTTTAAGCTAATGCCTCTGACATATAGCTTTTACCAAATCTACCATGAGGAGCTGATCTTTTACATTTCGTGTAATGCACTAAGTTATGGATCAGAGATATATTAAATTTACCTATGGAATGTTGATCAGGTATAATAACCCATAAATAGGTAAATTAATTTTTAGTGCAACCTCCTTTATATGTTTTTCGCTCTTTCATCAGTTTTGTGTCCATTTGCTACAGACGGTATTCTGTGAGTTTGTAAAATTAGCATCATTGTGCGGATTTATAAATCAACAAGCTTTGGATCACCAAAATGTTCCCCTCATCAGTGCAGTCTCACTATCACACCATCCCACCAAAGTAAAGTTATCGATTTTGACTGATGAATTGGATGACGATGCAAAACACGGAATCAAAAACCAGGCTGACCAGATAATAGGGGATTCTTAATAATGGTGAACGCCAACATACTTCAGTGCTGTAATTTTGGATTTTATATAACTATGAGCAGAAATTACACAGACTTTTGACACATCGCCATTTCGTGCTCACCCGCGTCGTCCAGTTCCACTCATAATTCATTTTGATAGGGGGAAGAAACTCAGCGGGCCAATATTTTATGCACTTTGCATTGGCCCACATCTATAAGGCGGCAGACACCCTACAATTGGTGAAAATAGATAATTCCAATGCAAATTACGAAGATTCAAGATCTTCACATTAGCCTATCAATAAGAATCTGTTGAATCTTAATATTTGAGGTGGTCCACCAATCACAAACTAGACAGACAAATTGGACAGGGGCCAAATTTTAGTGATAGCAAATTGATTAAGAAAACTAACAGGCAAATGTAATAGGTGATATTATAGAGATGTTACGAGACTAGATTAGATGGAATGATGGTGTTTTACAGTGGATATGGGGGCCTGTGGTGAAGGAAAGTGAAAGGCAAAAGAAAACGACAAGACACAGCCAGAAGGGGTAGGGCGTTGGGAGGTCGACTGGAACTCCTAATCACACCATTCGAAGTTGATAATCGCCGTTTTGCGTAATATAACGAACCCACGGCAAGGCATGGTAACCACTTTTCTCAATAATCTTCAAGTAGTGGACCTAGAATGCAAAATACATCCGACATGGTAAAGACATTTGGGCGTACGAGTGAATGGCTAATGTAGGCCAACGCCATCAATAAATCCACATCATAGGTCCTTTTCGACGAGAGTGGTTAATGTACATTAATGGTGCAGAACCACCAGATATGAAATCATGCTCAAATCTATCCTGTTCATCATCCAATAACAGGTTTTTTGGTTCATTTTGTCTAAGTGACCAGAACTAAGCGAAAAAAAACGAAACTGCAGTGATACAAAGTGCAAATACGCAATCATTTTGCGAACAACACAAGCTACTACAGTACAAAGTCGATATCGGAAATTAGGTCGGTGGGCCTTCGTTTAATCCAACTGATCCTGAGTAAAACCTTTCAACTTACGTTACTTCGATTGCCCTGGATACACCATGCAGATGTCAGACACAGAGGTCCAAGGTAATGCTCAATAATCTTAAACTATGAGCAAGGCCAAATGACTTTAAATCCTATCAATTAGGAAATTTCGAAACATTCGAAATCAGCAACGTAGTAGACTAGAAAGATCGCCGTGTCGCAGGCGAAATGTAACAAGAATAATCAAATCTGGTTGATTTAAGATGAATCGGTGAAGTGCTAGGACAGCTCACAGTCCCATCTCGACTACTTTGATATAACCCGGGCGAATGTTAACCAATGAAATTTCATGAAACAATACAGATCGTTCTGCCATTGTTTTAATAGTTGGCACTTAGAATAGGGCGCGTTGCAACGATCTGAAATCTCTTTTGCTACGACTGACACACTAGGATGGAATGGAAAAGCTGTTTAGTTGGCATGCACGTCGAGACCGAAGAGGAGCACTTGCCTGAAGACCGGAGACGGTGAAGTAGGGAATCTCGAAGCGGACGGAGATCGGAGGCCGTGACTCGGTGGAACTGTCGCCCTCCACCGAGGGAAGTCCGAAGCTGGCGCGCATTATGTACTCCTTGCCACCGGGGAAGCTTTTTATCGACCACACCACCACGCTATCCTCCGGCATGTACTTGCAGGCGCCGACTGTGGTCTTGAAACGGGGCGAATCCACATCGCTCGGTACTGGGATCAGGATCTCCACCTGGTTGGCTGTGCTCCGACGTTTGAATTGGGCTTTAGCCTGAGGGTAAGTCAAACAAACACATGGGGCTACCAGCTGAGCCTTCAACGCGCACTCCTGCACATGCAGGTGATTACAAAAAAGGTGTTGTCGCTATAGTGGCTGTATGCAGTTCTGAAATGAGGTCAAATACTTGGAAATTTGTGGCTACCGAAAAGTTTCCTTGTAGTTCTTGTTAAAAATGGAATTGGCGGCATTAAGAAGCATCAGAGCCACGAAAACATCATAAATGGTTGCTAAGGCAACATTTGCCTTCGTGTATAGAGTTAAGGAAAATTTGAAGCCTTCGCGTAAGAGCCAAATATACCTACGCAAGTTCGGCTTTAACCAATGAGATGTATTAAAATTAGTGAATTTGATTAGTGTGTCAGAAAGACCGGATTTTAGTAATGACACTCAGCTACAAACAAGGGGATGGTAAGGTTGTGCTTAAATATGGATAAAGAGACACATAATCACTTGCTGCCAAAATTACTTGCATTGACAAGTTGGCATTTTGTCTTTTTAGTAAGAGTACATAAAGGAACCGTCACAGCTGACAACAATTTTCGATCGGGAAATTGAGAGGGGCCAACTCACCTTTACCATATACTCCACGCGACTGTGGGCGTGTTTCTCAATCACAGATTCAACCCAAATAAGAGGCTTGACCTGTGTGAAGTAAAACAAATAATTGGATTACATGGTATCAACTAAAATGGCAGGAAATATTGGCTATATAATGACACATGGTGTCACTGATAAGGAACTAGCCAGAGTAACCCAAATGTTAGCTTCCATGAAATTGCTACAAGTCAACACGCGGAAAGACTACGTATAACCCTTAAATTATCATGTAGACACGATATTTTAAGATGAAAATACGACTAAAAGCGATTTTGACTGACGCGCGCATGCATTTGAGAGTGGTTTTCCAAGATTTTTTGAGTGCAGTACTACGACGGTACAAACTACACAGCACTTACTCCACCCGACCCATTGAAGACATGGTGTGAGCTCTAAATAAACACGTTATGGAGGAAATTGACGTTAGGACCGCACAGCATAACAGGTGTGACCAGTAAACTCGCACTACAGTCACATACCATAAAATTGCAACAAGTATAACTGCTTTCGGAGCAGAGGAGGGGAAGACTTACGTGCGTGTTTAACCGGTAAGACATGAGTTCGAATTCACCGTCAGGTGGGATGAATGATATCGTCCGATCGTTCTCGAAACGCGACAAGCGCACACACTGGTGGAACTTGATGTCTTCTAATTCCACTGACTTGCCTTTTCCTTGCGCTAAGTTAATGAACAAAAAAGCAACTACGTCATTGCCAGTGAACAGCATTTTTACTCAGGATGTGAAAGCAAAGAGCAGAAAAAGAAGCAGAGAGGGCCACCAAGAGAACAGTTTATGTGATTACAGACAATATCTATGGGCTCATTTCGTACGGATGATTAAAAGAGGTTACAACGAGCATTAAAGTTAAGAGGGAAAAAGCAAAAAATGAAGACATAATTAGAACATACTTCCATTTGACTCAAATCGAAGTTTGTCATTTACACCCAAACGCAACTCCGGCATACCCGATAGGTAAACCTTCATTTTGATGCATCCCACAATTTCGCTACGTAGAACATTACCTGTGGAACTAACCTTAAAACGTTACTGTAAAATAAAATCACTACCAGTAAGTTGACACTTTCTATTACATCGAGAAAAACTTCATTTCTTCGGTACTTCACAGATTCTGACCGCCAAGAGACGGCATTAGTTACTGCCATCGGCGGTCTTGGAGCAATTTCTAGCTTGCTGCTTTGTTGGGTGATATATTCTTGCAGGATTTTTGAGTCAGTTGTTTGTGGGTAACCAAAATCCATAACCTCATCAAGAAGCTCATATGTGATGACAAAATTGTCCCGGATGCTCTCTTCCTCGAGATCTTTAAAATATTCAAGAAAAATCTACATAGAGAATGGTTAGCAATAACTATCACAATCCTACATTAATCAGTCTATACAAAAATGCAAACACAAGAGCAGCGTTCGCGTTTCTTTTTGTAAGTACAACAAGATAAAGATAGTTATATTTAACGTAGATGAAGCTGGCGCCCTCAAAGTGGATAACAGGTGAAACCTGGCCTTCCTCTTCCCTTTCGATAACAATGGGCAAAAATTTTTCAATAACGTTCATATCAACATCATCACGATAGTTTCGATATATTAGGACTTTTCCTTTAGAATCTAGAATAAAGACGGCCGACACCGACATTACTAACACAGTGATTGTACAGGCGGGTCAACGTGGACGACTAACTCGACCTGGCTCACTAAGCAGACAACAGAGTAATTTGTGTTCAAAAAATTTTATAGAGAACTTAATAAGGTGTTAAACATAGTGTTTTTCTAATTTCAAAAAAAAATTTTAAATTAAAAAAATAAAGGAATGAATTTTTGCATCTAGACAGCAACCCCAAGGGCTTATAAATTTACGTTTGTACCCATAATGCTAAAAGAATAGGAGTAAACAGCAATGTAACGAATTGTTATAAAACACCTAATAGCTGGTTCCTGACGCATTTCTCAAAGCGTTTAATTTAATATATATTCTGATTAATGGGAATTATTTAGAGCCATAAAGGACCTTTTATATTTAATTGCAACCATTTTCACTATTGTCTTTCCTGCCTCGCAGACTGCCAACAGATATTTCTCTAAAAGCAAATGGACCTGATTTAACCAATAAATTCTTTTTGAGATTTCTTAAAACCTCTGCATTGAATTAGTCAAATGTTGTAAATAACATCTTTATATTACACAATCCTCTGTTAATGATAATTAAAATGTTTTTTATTGCTAGTCACAAAACCTACTGTCGGTCCGAAGTCAATCGGGTTTTTGACAATTTGGAAAGTTTTCTAAATAAATAAATCTATAACCCTTTGGCAATTTATACTAAAAGTCAAAACCTCGGAATTCAAGTATGTAAATAAATAATGTTTAAACCTGCCTTACGTTATTATCGCAGCTTTGCATTTGAGCTATCAAATGTGAAATTGTATTGGGTAATTTTATACATAGAAATGACAAAAGTGTAGGCATAAAAAATTATAAAATTGGCCTGCAGAAGGTTTTACAAGCATGCTGTTTAGGATGCTACGAAACTGCTCCTTGCCTGCCTTGTCATTTTTGCCTTAAATTCTCGACGTCATATTTAACAATTCACTAAACCGTATATGCCTATAAAGCCGCGCAAAATGTGCTCTGTAGCAATAAGACAATTTGTGCAATTTTGTAAGATGCTTAGTTAGAATAATATATAAAAGCAGCTGTGTTTTAGCAGTCTTAATGTTGATTATGTACCTACGAGAGTATAATTTTTGTCGCGTTCGGCGGTCCTTTCAATTGTATGGGGTTGTCAACTGTGGTTTTTAGCTCGAATATCGTCATCAAAGCCTGATTAATTAGGTAACAATGAGTTTGGGTATCCGACGTTTATTTCCACGTGAGATGGCAAAGCGCAGAATAGTATGTGTAAAAATGACCATGTTTTGATTCCTTTAGTGTTGCTTTACTACGCCAACTGTTTATCATGCAGCCGTCGTTATATTCCTTGAATTTTTTGCTTTTGGATTGCTTACATCCCCAATGATTTCGGCAAGTCCTTTGAAACATTATTTTAACTCAGTGTTATTAGGTCTTGGATGAAGCATTCCCAAAACACACTTTTCTGATGAATGGATTAATTCAAGGTGTTAAAGGATTTCTTTCCTTTCTCAGTGCCCCTTTAATCGGAGCCCTATCTGACATATTGGGGAGGAAACCTTTCTTATTCCTGACAGTTACATTCACTTGTTCCCCCATTCCGTTTATCAAGCTAAGCCACTGGTGGTATTTCACTATGATTAGCATCTCCGGAATATTTTCAGTTACCTTTTCTGTCGTTTTGGCATTTGTTTCGGATGTAACGACTGTCGAAAATAGAAGTTGGGCTTATGGACTTGTGAGTTAAACTTTTATTGTTGAGTTTAATAGAGGGGATGATTCTTTTGTAAATACGAGTTTATCGTGTTTTTAAGCATGGCGTTAATGTGTCCACATCGAATTCCGATATGCCGGGAAGCAACTGATAAAATATCTGGAATCTTGTGTCGTATAAATGCCTCCATATTATTGTAATTGGCCTAAATGTTACTCAAGCTGCACTTTTCAGAAGATTAGTCAAATCTGCCTAGCTTGGCCTATTATCTATTGTCATTTTGTTTTATGGGTCTCCTATTGTATTAAATACTAATTTCTTTAACTTTTGTTTTTTTTTTTTGGAGTAATTGAAAACGTGAAGTCAGTTATCCTCAAAATAATTCTTAGTTTGCAGATAATCGTATTTTTTAATGAAAGCATTTTATCGTGAACCTGAGACTTACAATAAAGATGGTTCCCAAAGGTATAGCCAATCGTTTCCTGTCGTTTCCGATTCAGTAAAATTGTGATATTTCAACGGCAAAGTAACTTTTGATCGTCCTCAGTCGTGATTCTCACTTGATGCACTTTCCCCTTCAAGGTGTCAGCAACGTTCGCTGCCAGCTTGATTGTCTCGCCATCCCTAGGGGCCTTTCTGGAGAAGGCCTATAGCGAGAATTTTGTCATCGTGCTGGCCTCTCTAATCGCCTTTGCGGACATCGTCTTCATCCTCTTCTGTGTTCCCGAGTCCCTGGAAAGTAGCGGTGTGAAACGCGTGACTCTCACCACGCTGTCCTCTTCTTCCAGTCCAGTAGCTGCCGCCCTCCCAGCCGGCCAAGGTGTGCTAGAAAAGCGCTGGACAATCACCTGGGATAAAGTCGATCCATTTGGTGTAAGGGATGCGCATTGGCGTGTTTTTATGTGTTGCTTGATCCATGAGGGCTGTTAAGTTCACAGGCTGAGACAAATTCACCCTGGTCGAGACATAATGCCGTTCCGGTAACTCAGATTAGGTCAATTATGTCTACCCTTAGGGTGCCAGGTTCTGATGCTGATTCAAGACTACAAGCAACACAGTATTAACTTCTTTCTTGCTAAAATTTCAAAAGCTAGACTGCAACCTTGCTTTTTTATTGCTGTGCACCCTCACTTGCAGAAATGTGTTGGTCTTTTGCGTTTTGTATAAATATTTTGCCTGCAGTCAAAGCGCACACAACATATTATTTCATGACATTTCATCTCTAAACACAAGCAGCTTAATTCCAGTGGAACTTTCTGCGCGTGTAATAATGTGTGAGTCGATTCCAGCCATGCGAGGGCCAGGCATCCACTTTGCAGTTGTAATGTGTTGCATCCTGAGGGATCTGATTGCGTGTCCTCTAAGATTAGAGGCTGGTGGTGTGAAGGCTGGTTTCCAGAGGAACAAACGGGAGATCGTGTAGAATTTCCAGCCGTGTGCTTGTCTGATCCACGTTCTATGCATGGACACACATCGTGGTCGGATGAACACCGCCTTGGAGATTTCACCTCATAATGGACAAAGAAAGTTAAATTTTTAATCGGAATCGGATTGGGTATAGTGGCGCTACGTCCAGGGAAGTGCAATTCAAACTGCGACCTGATTACTAGTAGAAGCAGCTTGACCAAAGCTGCTCTGAATCGCTAGAGGTCACTCGGCACTTCGTGTGGATTTTTCAGCAGCGCATTATGCGCTATCGGTCATCACTAAATGCTACGAGAACTACCTGGAGATGTTCACGGATGCTCCGGCTTTAATAGCACCCGAAATTTTTATAAGATTGTTATGCGTACCATTTTTTGTGAAAGGTCATGTCACACACATACCCAACAGTCCCAATCTAGCCTCCTCTAATTTACGCACTCTTTTCACAAATAGACGTGCATTTAGACGGGGTCTGAGTCGGGTGTCTGTGAGGTTGGCCACGCGGTGCTAATTCCGGTTTTTAACACTTCTGCCTGGCGCGACTGCAGCCTTTCGGCAACTCGAACTGGACGTTTGCAGAGTTTCGGAGTGGATATTTCGAATAAACGTCGTTCAATTCAAACTTTTCAGAAGCCCTAGACCCACCCTTGGTTTTGGTTTTTTTTATCATGCTCATTAACAAAAAGCGTCATAGCCTAGGTGTAACCTGAGTGGTTGCTTCGAGTAACGCCGTGTCTACCTGGTACATTATGTCCTCAGGTCCGTTTGACCGCGTGTCACGATGTGTGTGTGTGTGTGTAGAGCGATTGCTTGCTCACACCTCTGGGTTGTTTTACTTGATAAAATTATGTTTGCTTCAACTTGTGCAGTCAAGGAACCATAGGTTGTTCAGGGCCCACCGATTTCTCCTTCATGTGCAACAATGCTAAATCACAAAGGTTCTCGTCTTTCGTCTTTTGTTGTCTTAAATCGTAGGCGTATCCTTCCGGTGCCAACTTAGTTCTTTTTTGCAATGTAATCTGCCAGTCAAGTGCATGTCCCCTCAGACAAGTGCATAATCTGCAACCTGTCTCAATAGCGCAAAGGTGTGCGTAGTTTTGTACCTGCTTGCCTTTTCAACGGCATTGCTACGCGGCTGTTGAGGGTGACGTAATAAAACTCGCTGAGGTTACACCGGGGGTCTGTGGTACATGTGGTCACTATGCGGCCACAAATTCAACTAATGTGGAGTGCGCTCGATTACTACTTTCCTTGGATTCATTGTCGTTTCATGTCAACGTCAATCTGTGAAATAAAACCTTTTTCTGCGCTTGCCAAAACTAGATGTAGAATTCACGCTTGCTGAGGCTCGGCTAAGCGTGGAAAGTACCCGAGTTGCCATGGCTAGCAGTTTAGTTGTGTTTGTGTGCATACTAGGTATTGTATTCCTCTACAGAATGCCATAGGACACAGAAAACAGGCTTTATTGACACATCCCAGACCAGATTTACGCGACAGCCACCGTCCGTCCAAGTTCGCTTTCCTGGCTGCGCTTTTCACCACATGTGTGCTTCTCATCCAATCTCGTCTCTGGTTGGCTGCTTATCGTCCGCATAGGCCTTTGAAGCTCATAGGCAGGATTGTGTGAGCTCCTGGCTTGAACCAATCAGGGTGCTGGTGGAACAACTCTAAGTCACAAACGTGCCTTGTAGGGACACATATTTGTACGGGCTCAGACGCGTCCGCGTGGACACTGGGGGTGCTGAGACATGCGCTGACGATGGTTGCGGGCGTCACTGCAACCGGGACAGTTGCATCAATCCCTGCACCAAAAAGCATTAATCATGCCCTTAGCCAGGGTCCGATAGTAGCCTGACACCATGGTTCGTGGGAAAATTCGACTGCCTTGCTTCAAGTCATCCGCGATGCAATAGGCTAGTAACGTGACTGTGTGTTGACGGCAAACCAACAGCTAGCATGATGTGTTTGCCATCGTCTTCCGGTTTTTCGTGGATTCCACGTTTGTACGTCATGCAATTGTCTAATTCCAAACTCGTGCGCCACTAGGTATTACCTCCTGGTATCCTATGTAGTTTAGAAAATGAGGCCTTGTGGTTTCGCTGTGTTGTCACGGTCACCTGACTGATAGCAGGATCCCCCTAAAAGAGGTTCTTAGCTAATGAAGAGGTCACAGTGACTGTTTTTAGCCAGAGGAGATCATCGACAACAAACTCAACCGTTTGTCGGGTATTCCAACCAATTTGTGCTAGTTTGTTATTCGTATTCCCGATTTGCGCAAGCCCCTTACTGGAACAAGCATAATCCCACTGCCGAATTCTAGCGTCTTTTAGCGTTCTATTGAATTTGAGCGTTCAGTCTACTTCGACGTGGATACACACGTGAGTGCCACGTCTTGCCATCTGCACGCCATGATCCTGCTCATAGAAGAGGTCAGCAGCGGGGAGCACTTTTGTGTGTTTTCGCCTTTAAAGGATTTACCTTCTTTGCATGTAAGCACATACTTCTTGCCTTCAGGTGGCTGTAAACCTAATAACATCTTGGCTCGTTGATGAATCCTGAAATGGTTGAAAAGCCTGCTTCCATGAACCTCGAGCAGAGGAGAGGGTCATGACTTGGCGGCATTTAATTGTTGGAATTTTGAAAATTCCAACAGTTTCCATTGTCTTCTGGGAAAAGAGCAACCCTTAAGAGCCACAGTTGTCTCACAGATTGTTACGTTTTGTCCGCAACCAAGACCACGCACACGCACACGGAAAACCGGCACCCCAGATCCCAGATCAGATGCTAGCCCCCACACAGATCTAACTTGGTTCACGTGCGTCCTTTCTTTACGCGGCAGCTAAAGTGTCAATTGAGAAAATGGTTGTCATCCTCCTTTGGGACAATTTGCTGGGTTGCAGTGTGAAAAATCTATACTTTTCATCCAATGAATGAATTCTAATCAGTAGCATCGAGGTTGCTTGGTTAACACTACCTTACAACCCTCTAGTTAATAGCCCGAAACTACCCGAGAAGTGGGAAGAGAAGAGGCGACAGAGAACACGACCGTTTATTAGTGTCACATGAGCCAAGTGTGTGCATTAGTGAGCGGTTGACAGGGATCTACTAAGGGTAACCAATGAAAAGGGGATGAGTCATTGACACCGTCAGGTCAATAAACAGAATCCACTTAGGCGCGATCGTTGCTAATCAGCTACAGTCTCATGAATTTGCTGTTCAGTGAGATCTGGCTGTTTTTGCCATTCAAAACCGGGCCATGTATGATTGGGGGCTGTCATCAGCGTCTCCTCTGCCACTCAAAGGTCTTTACAAATTCCGAAGTAAATTGTAGGGTTAAGGCTGTCTATGAAAGGAATGGGCGTCATTGCTTGCCACACCAACGACCAATGATCTGACACAAGTTACCAAATGTGCGTGCATGCGTGCGAGGCCTATCATTCGTTTCAGTGTAACACGATCACCTTTCAGTTTAAGGCTTTTCTTTGATTATTTTGTAGTCTAACTTAGTCAGTTGTGGACAGTAAACATTCGGCCTGATCGTTTGATTAATTGAAGACACTTCAAATTGCACATCAACTTCGATTCCTATCAAGTTGACAGCGTAATCCTTTTGGTACATTTCGGATTTCGTGAGGTTCGTACTAATTCATCAGCCGTGGGCCGTGGTAGCCTTCGATTGATGTTATTCAATGAGTTGTACCAACAAGTGGGCCGTTTTGCTACCTCTGAAAATACATTTAACGAATATTGGTTGGTTGTGTAATGTAAATGTCTTTCCAATCATTACTGAATCCAAATGTCGCATTTGAGAAGGATGTATGTACGTAGTTCAACAAGGAGAATCTTGGGAACCTTTGTCACAGTTTTGACCTATATCCTATTCAATTATGGTTCTGATTTGGCTGTCTCCAACGTCGGTAGTTCGACCACGACGATGCTGGTCATGTTTGAGTGATGTTTTGTCGAACAACACGCACCACCCCCTCCACCCATCGCTGTAAGCCTTAGCTACTTTCTCGACATTGCGGGAACACAAGTAAAACCCTTTGAAAATGCTATTTTCACTCAAAACCATTAGATAAAAGCAGAATTACGCGCAATTCGCTCCCACCCTTCGCTTGTAAAAGCCAGAACCAATTTTGTGCCATTCCATCAGTTCACGATTTTGTTTTGCAGAATTATTTACGTGTTAATCTTAGCGCAGACTGATATGTGCACATCTGACTTTTAAGCTTCTTGCAATGTGGGACCACCGTTTATTGATCCTAGTTGTCGCGCCATTAGCGCTGTTATTAATAGTAGTCTAAAGACAGCCAGACACCCTATTGCACGATTGGACTTCCTTAAGTTTGCGCTGCAATTTACGGGTTTATTAAAAGGGCTAATTTGAGGGGATTTCTATCGCTTACTTGGGCCTTGTAGGAGTGTTAATGGAGTGGTTGTCTGCACGGGCATACTTGTGTTCTCTTACTGTCTGCGACTAACGTAAAAGGGCTCAATCAAGTCGAAAGCCCAGCACATTTGCCCTACCCGTTGTTGTGGTTCGTTGCAGGCCCTGCGTCACATCAGTCGCGACCGCCTCACCCTGCTCGTCTGCATGACTACCTTTCTCTCCTACCTCCCCGAGGCCGGCGAATACTCCTGCTTCTTTGTCTACCTTCGACTGGTGAGTCATGTCTCTCGTGCTGTGTGGACAGTCTCGACGGCTAACGTAGCCCCGTGACAGCTGCTCCACCAGGGGAGTTCGATCTCGTAGGCTATCGAATGTCACCTACATCGCAGCAAATTTCCTCTGTGCCTAACCATCCAAGGCAGTCGCGCTGCAATCGGCCCGGTTCCGCCACGCAGATACCCGAAGAAACGGGAGACGTCGGTGCCTGGACTGTTTACTAGATGGCTCGGCTTCGTTGTGCTGTCGTGTCCCTGTGCCCCATGTTGTAGTTTGCGACACCTGAATGACCGCATGAGTGAAACGGATAGTAGGGGTGTTACAGGCTCGAGGTTTCACGCGCAGACGGTCCCTTGTGGCTGACGGGCCCGCCGTTGGGAGATGCGGCCACCGTGTTGATATTCCTAAGTAAAAAGCTGTTCGATGCAAACCTATGTGGTAAATGCTTGCCCGTAGCGCGTCACCGTTGTGCGTTTAGAACGCGTTGTCGCCAGAGCTCCGTTTTGTCCTGCCTTGTCAGAGTTGGTGTTGATTGGAACGTGGCTAGCCCGACACCAGATCCATAAGCTTTTTGGTGTGGTTATGATGTCAGTGACGCAGCCAGCTGGGGGTACTTGAGGGGGCATTGAAATTATTCCTTTTTTCCCTTTTTTTGTTGTCAAGGTGATAGGATTCAGTGAGGAGAATGTCGCCCTCTTCATCGCACTCTGCGGCCTAGTCTCGTGTTTTGCTCAGGTTAGTTGGGGTCCCTCGCTCGTCCCCCCTCTCTTTTTTTGCAATTGCCACGACGAATCTTCGCATTCGCGCTACTGATTGACAGGCAAAGCTAGTGGGCTTGGTGGATTCCGTTTGATTCTGCAATCACGCACACCTTTCCGTCGCGTTAACTTTGACAAGTGCTTCATCTGATGCCAATTAAATTTTCCAGAAAAGAAAGATATTTTTTCACCCAACTGCACACAAAGAGCCGGATAAAGTCACTTAGCGTTGTCATTGAGTGCATTACTTTGCCAACACGTAGTGTATTGGAGGTGAAGTCCTTAAATCGCACATGCTAATTAAGCACAGTTGCCCCGACGTTTAGTTTAACTTTTTTTTTCGCAAACCTTAAAATGTAAAACACAAGCTACAAAAGACCGGCAGTTTACTTTTCTGATTGTTATCACGGACGTAGTTGATTGTCGCTTTCAGTGATGAGGTTCTGATGAAGTGAATTCAAGTGAGAATGCCTTCCTCGTCTGCTGCGTGATGCAAGAAAATGGGTTGAGACAGTATAAAATCGTCTATAACTTGGTCAGTCGCGCTTTAATCTACTTGCCTAGTCGATTTCGTTCTGTTAATTTTCCTGATTTTATCTGACTTCTAAATTCTTGTACAACTGTGCCTTTTTAAAACATAACGACATCTCGCTTAAGCAGTCCATTCCAGTAGTAGCCAGATTGAATTAGAAATTAGGCCCATTTCAGAGCTCTGGTGAGTTTAATCTTTTTGGGGTAGAATGTTTTTTAGCCAGATAATTTGCGTAATTCCACTCACGGCCATGACAAACCACTTGCCTCGTGCCACGTGAGTTTTCAATTTCATTCCTTGGGTTGGGTTTCGTCTTCCTACGCAGTATCATGTTTTCTACTTCGTGGCTACAGTCGATTAAAGCAGCCAGGATGTTTATAATCTAGCAAACAGAGCGTCCCACGTCCTCTACGTGATGCCACCTAGACGCCAGTTTCCTCTGACTGCGATCTAGGGAAATAACCGCGACGAGATCGTAAATGCGACGTCCAAAACTATTTAAGATAAAAATGGGTATTAATTGTGTGCCCACGTGATAGTTTGCTTCTTGTAGATTGGTATGCAGGTCAAATATGGGCACGTAGCCAGGCCCCCTAATCACCAGCACCTGTTTAAACTAAGAATCAGTGCACACAAGGCCACCAATTATTAACTGAGTTAGTTAAATCACAAATTTGTGTATACATTCGTTGTCGTTTTGTGGCTGTGCCGTGTGTTCACACGGTGTGGTCACGCGTTGTTTACCGCATTCAAGCGTCATCGCAGATGCTGCGACAAACGTGCGTGCGTGTGTGCGTGTTCATTAAGCCTAACTCCAATATCGGACTGCTAGTGTCAAACGCGTTATGGCGCCGTTAAGTCCAGCCTACAAATTGTGTACACGCGGGCTAGGACAGTGCACCAATAAGAGCACTTGTCCGTTTTTTGCAGACGTGCGGTCTCGGCCTCCTCATCACGTGTTTCGGCTCCAAGCACGCCATAATCGTCGGCCTGGCCTTCGAGGCCTGCCAGTTGGCCATGTTTGGCTTCTTCAGCTCGGCCTGGGTTCTCTGGTCGGCGGGCTGCGTGGCCGGCCTCGGCAGCATCACCTACCCGGCGCTCAGCGCCTTCCTCTCTAACCACGTCAACGCCGATCAGCAGGGACTCGCGCAGGTACCTCATCACTGGCTTGCTTCATGCCTTCCTCTACACTGAGTTGGTCGTGAACACACTTCAGCACCACCTCTCACTACAGCCATGTAGAAATTGACCTTTGCACTTTCGGCAGGACCGTATTTGAGTGCTTGGTACATCAACCCCCTCCCCCTCTCTCTGTAGGGACTTCTTACGGGAATTCGCGGTCTCTGTGGTGGCCTTGGTCCGGCCGTCTACGGCTTCATTTTCTTCATTTTCCAGGTAAACAGACACGTACAAATTGATTTATAGTTGATGTTATAGTTGCAAATGTCAGGCTTCTGCAACAGAGTAGCGTCCGTTCACAAGATTTCTAAAACAATGAAACCACCGATCAAGAGAGTGTGACATCCGAAGCTATAGTAAGAAAAGGACTTCAATAGGCTCCAACTAAAACACTGACTATTAATAACGAAGATGACTCATCAAAGCAAAACTCACGTCTTTATGGGCATAACAACTTGTCCGGAGGCAACTGCGATTTGCTGGTGGAACAATTCTGCTTTTACAGGGCTCGATGGTGTTAGTCGCGCGGGCCTGAATTCATGAAGGGTGTTTTTCGTTCCATTTTCAAATTGCACGTCCAAATTGCAAATCGTTTTAGTTAACTTCACTATTGCATGGTTGTTAATACAGACGAGAATCATGGCGTCCGAACTTGCTAAACTCCTGCGTCAAGGTTACAAGGAAGCCGTTTAATCGTCTTTCGGCGTAAGTTGCTTTCAGCGCCACCAATAACATACACTTGCGATTGGATTGATTTAATTTTAAAGTTACAGTATGTGGAGGTCTGGTTTAGGTTTTTCTTGGATTGAGTACCTGTGATTGGCGGTTGAGCCTAGTTCCCGTCTGGGCGAATAGGATGTCGGCGCGGCCGATACGCCCAGCCAATTATCGTGATTTCTATAACCTTGTAATCGAAACTCTGACCAATTGCCATTTTGTCGAAAGTATTTTAACCACCAACCAAAATGAGCTCTTAGTGGATTGGACCCGTCGCGTCGTCTGTGTTGGTTGATGACTTAGAATAGGAGTTTTTTGTGGTGATTATCTCATCGGCCTCGATCTCAATACGTCCGATTAGTTCAAATGTTGCTAACCTTGGCACAAACGTCGCAAGGCAGGTCGAAGTGTTCCAAAAACACATACCTGTTGCCTTAACAACATTAATTGTGGTGTCTCGCAAAGCACTTTACGCCTAGTTCACGAATTCGCAGTGGGTCTCAACAACAACAACCAGAGTAGCAAAACAACGAATCAACCAATGATAAGAGTTGGTTGACCTGAACAAGTTGGGCCGTGTGTGTGCGTGCGTGCGTGCGTGCATCTAGGTTGCGTTGTGGTTGCTTGTGCTCGCCAGCCCATCACGTAGGCAGTTCAGCTGATGCAAAACTTTTACGAAAAAAAATGCATCCTCTTGCTTCGTTTTGATAGATTTATTATCGAAGTCACTCCGCTTTGGTGAAATCGGTCAGTGTTTGGTAATCGGGAGGTTCGCACACCTTGTCGCTCTCACCCAGTCATGCATTGTCAAGTAAGCCAGTCTAGAGAATTTCCCAGCACAGAGCCTCTGTGTGTTGTGGATATGACCTATCTCCCTATAAAATACGTTTGTCGTGGTTGCAATTATTCACTGTACCACTGTGGATACATTTGAGCCTACTCGAGTGTGTAGCAAGGGCGTATGCGCGCCCACACACCACGGGTGTTCTTTCGGTAGCCAAAAATGTTACATTTATCCCACGTAGCTCTAGTCAAAGTACTTTTGCCATCGCCAACCTGTCGTGGTTGTCATTTGACGCAATCGGTATCGATGAGCCTGGCAATGGATGCCTTGTTTACGGCTCACGCCTCTCTCCTGGTCTTGCAACCACACTGAGAGCAAAACGGTGGCGACACTCCGGTGTTAGACACTGCACAGCACAAAGTTTTGCCGAGCACATTGCTCCAATTTAGTGTTAGCACTGGTGTGTTTCGTCTACGTCGTTCAAGTCGTCTCCACCATTTCACACGGACAGTAGGAGATGGTTTTTGCCCATTTTTGACACGAATTAGCAGTCGCCTCGCAGAACCCGTCCATCATGGACCTGAGGAAAGTTGGCCATGGTCGTTTTTTCAAAGTGGACGTATGATGGTGGGGACCAGTGAAATGCACGGGTTGAACTTATGCCGAAAGTCCGTTGTAGCCTCTTATCTGAAGGTCATTGTTCACACATAACGTTTAAGTCGGATTTTTGGATAACTTTTACCATCCTAGCTGTATTGCGGTGGCTTGGTTATCACTGCCTTACAATCCTCTAGATACCAGCCCGTGACAACGCGAGAAGAGGGAAAAGAGGCTACAAATAACTCGACCATTTATTAGTGTCACACTAGTCAAGTGTGTATTCTTGTGTGTGGACGAGTGAGCGGTTGACAGGGGTCTACTAACAGTAGCCAATGAAAAGGGGATGAGTCATTGACACCGTCAGGCCAATAAACAGAGTCCACTCAGGCGCGATCGTTGCTAATCAGGTACAGTCTCATGATTTTGCTGTTCATTGAGATCTGCCTGTTTTTGCCGTGCAAAACCGAGCCAAGTATGATTGGGGCTATCGTCAGCGTCTCCTCTGCCACTCAAGGGTCTTTACAAATTCCGAAGTAAATTGTAGGGTTAAGGCTGTCTATGAAAGGAATGATCGTCATTGATTGCCAAACCAACAACCAATGATCTAAGACGAGTTACTCAATGTGTGTGTGTGTGCGCGAGGCTTTTAATTCGTCATAGTGTAGCACGATTTCTCCGCCCTCAAAAATGCAACTCGATGTTGTAATATTGTCGCGTAGATATTAAATACTCCTGTTTTGTTGATCTGCTCTAGTGGCAATCACACGCGTGATGCTGTCATGGCAAATGGCGACGCCGATGACGCGATTCGTTGTTCATTTCAATTCATCCAAGTTGAAGTTACGCAAATTAGTGGGTGCTGCAGTCTACAAGCTGCTTCTACACTTAATCAATATCGGTTGAGCATACCTTAAAGCGGTTCACTAGTTTTTGTCCTACAGCCATCAGCATAGTCATCATCATCATAGTCGTTGGGTCACCTTGTTCGCAGGCTACGTAGTGTTGTCTGGAGAATGTGATGCATCATTTTGACATCAACTTCTTTCCTTCCACCGTCTCACCGTCATTGCTCATTTCGACTCTGTGCGCGCTGCTGGTCGCCTGGTGCATCTTTTCTAGGCACATGTGTGTGTGTGTGTGTGTCATCGAGCGTTAGGTGGTTTCAAAGTTCATCATTTAAAGTCTCGCACACTGGACCACTTTTTTGAAGTTTCACAGGAGTTGCGCGTACCTGCGTCGCTCATTGTTGCCTTTAACTGTGCCTCAAACTGTGCCACTACCGCCACCTCTAATCAACTGTCGTTCAATCGACCAACACCTATGTTTTTTGCTTTGATTTCTTATTATTGGAGTTCTTGTTATTAGAACTGAGGGCGCGTTTTTGTTTGGACGCTTCAGTCTGGTGAGATTTTCCACCAATGTGCAAATCAGAGTTCTGGGGATCATCTGTTTTATTTCTCCTCATGGATCTTAGTTCTACCCGAGACTTTCAATGCTAGCCACTAGTGCAAACCCATAATAAGGTGTCCCACCAACTACGCCTGGCGAATTTCGCGCAAGCGCTATCACATAGGTTGTCGTTCTCCTAAAAGAAGACTTCCTGGTAGGAGTCTGTTCAGGCGAGATGGTGTCCTCTCCAGGTAGGATTGTAGCACCTAAATCGGTCTATCTGGAACACAAGTTAATTCGGGTCTAGATGCGGACAGCTTTCCCCACTGAAGCACCCCTTTTGACCTTCAATGAGTTTTCCACTTACTTCAAACCCACCAGGGATTGGTGGATGGAAGCTTGTAAATTAGAGTGAAACATCGTTTGGTTACATTTGACGGCGTGTAAGTTGTGACTTCTTGTTCCTTATGACTATCCACTTGCGTTGGAATTGCCTTTCTACCAACTGGATGATCCAACCGTTTGGCGAGAGTATCCCAGTTCTGGGTGTGGTGCGTGCCTGCTACCTTCCGCCCAAACAGGAGCAGATCTCACCCTAGTGGGCACGAGTCTGTTCTTCGCTTTTAACTTTTTTTTTCTCTACCTTAAGGTGAATCTGAATAATCGGCCGTCAAATCAGTCGATTCAACAGGAGGAGCCTGTGAACACGGCTGACACATTTCAATCTCAGCTGGCATCGCTCCATCGGGTAAAGCCTTGTTACTTATCCTCACTACCCTCCCACCTTGTGGCTTCTTCTTGCGCAAGCAAACCACCGCCGAGTTAACGCCCTGCCTGTGACCCACTTTTACCCGATTTTCCACGACACGTCTTGGGGTGTAGTGAGTACTCCCTTTTGCGTAATATCACCAGCCAACACATTTGCACACACCCGCGCGCGCACATACACAAGACGCATCAAATCGGACCACAAAGGCTGACCACAATAATAAAGTGCGTGCGCCCTTGTCTTCTATGAGTCGGTGTAGGGCGTTGTTAGTCGCGTCGTAGACGGTCGTGTTTTTTTTGTAGTTTGAATTAGCAAGTCCGATTGGTTGCGGTCGTCGCTTTGATCGGTTTTTTTTTTCAAATTCTCTGTCAGAGCTACTTAGAAGGTGGCGGTGTTTACCAGGTTGGTGTGTCTCGGGAGACAATACCGGTCGTAAGGATATAATCTCGGTGACCAGGCTCAACCAGTTAGGTTGGAAATTGCAACAAGTACATGTAAATGTTTTACCGATTCATTATGTGATTATGTGCCTCGACATTCCCGTTTCCTGCAGTGCCCCAATTTATCTATGATCGGTCAAATGAAGGCTGATTCTCGCGACTTCTATGTGAAAACAGGTGATGCTGTAGCTACGTTTGTCTTCTTAGCTTCCACGCCTTATGATATGTCTCGTTTGATGTACATTGCCTTTATATATTCAAAATGTATCAGAATTTGTTCCAAGCAGATGTTCCTGGCCCACTACGTAAAGTGTATCTCATTTGCCAATTCATGACACGCTGTCGTGGATGTGAATCTGCTTTTTCGAACAGTCGAACTGCTCCCTCTATGCTTTTGAGGAAAACGTTCGTTGCATTCAAAAACTAGTACCAGCCAGATGTATCTGACTTACTCACCTCGTAAAATATGTGTCACCTGCCTGTAAACGTTCTTTATGGCTTAGTGGATGTGCCGTTTGTACACACGTCTTGTTTGTCGAGCAGTTGGACTGCTTCCTCTGGATCCTTAATGAAACCACCCGGCTCCATTCCGTTTCAGAATTTCATTCCCGGTCCGCCATTCGCCTTTGGTGCTGTTCTCGCTCTCTTGGCAATAATGGTGGCCATCTTCATCCCCGAAGACCGCAGCTACCACACGCTCGCCACGACGCGGTCTACCGACCCGAACCACAGTCTGCGGAGGTCGAATCGCGCAGGCACCTCGTCCAGCACTGCAAACCTCCTCGCCGGTGACGACGTCGGCGGCTATCCCTCCGATGCTGATGACGACGACGAGCACCAGGTGGGGTTCGCGGGATTGACCTCGCCTTCGACTGACAGAAGGCGGTAAGTACGTAGGTTCGCTATTAGAAACGGCATTTGGTATCAATGTACCTCCTGGGATTTGGGAGGTGGACGATTAGGGTGACATAAATGAGTCAATTACTGGAGCAATGCGTTCGAGGGCGTGTATTTCAATGTTACTCTATAAAATTTCCGTAGACATCCTTCATTGACGCCTGGGGTTTTTAGTAATGGGACAGTGGGCAGTTGGGCGGAACTGTGTATGAGGTTTTGAACTAGGGGAAAAATTATTTAGAATATAATGTGCACGGGAAACGAGTTGATTAATAGCTGACAAATTTGGCTTTCTAGGCGCTTCGTTCAAGTCCGTTAGAGCCGAGTTGGGCCGTGTATCGAGAGAATCTGCAAAAGGAAATTTTGAGTTGGTCAGGTGAACTACTGCACCGCTTCCTCTTTTAGGCGAGTGCGTGATAATCGCCAGTCGCTTCCCTCCGCTCAATCCACCACGCGTCACCAAAGACAGCCCTCGGCCAGCAAGATTCCTCGTGGCACCGTCCCCAATACCTTCTTCCAGGCTCATGCCACAGCCCTCCCCGCAAAACTGGCCAATCCTCTTCGTCGACTACTCGCAAACGACGTCAGACACGCCCCTTCGTTTTTCTCCCACCTCCCTTCGGTAGATCCCCAGCGGAAGGAGACCGAGGCAGCAGATCTCGCCAACTTCCGCGTACCCACGAAGTTCACCGATGAGTACGCAGCTGACGACGCCTCAGACGACGTCTCGGCGCCTCTCATCGTGAACACCAGTAGCGCTTGGGCCAAGTCTTCGACGTTTACATCTCCCGGTGGTAATCTCGCAATGCGTATTTTAGTGTACATCGATCTGGCAGGAGGCTGCCTTATTAGGCCATCGTGGATCTAGTGGATGTTCTCTGGAGCTGATCTTCAGCATAGAGAACGTCGACGTTTACGCTCTAACGCTAATTCGTCAGATAGAATCAACATTTTGGCCATTTAATGCAGCTACTCCCAGATTGTTCATTGATAATAATTGAGATCCTCTAAGAATTCAGTTGTTACGTTTCACTAATCTAGCTATAATTTAGAATGTTATTGCGTTATGATTGAATCGGTGACTGTGGTAATGTCCGATCTATTCCTTTTTAGATCCCCCTGTGAATACTCTTCCTCCCCCGCTGTAACCTCTGATGGCGTGTACATTGGCCACCGTCAACTGTTGCATTTGAAGAGTTATATGTTTTTCACGCTGGGTGCATCCACTCTTGGGGTTTTGTATAAACAAAACAGACAAACAACCTCCACACGGCACACGTCCCAGTCGTGGTGTTTTTCTCTCTATGTAAATGGCTCAATTTCCAGTAATTTCACCCTTCAACTTGCAGGCGTCTATTTGTGGTGTCCGTTTTCATTTCTACCTTCTGCTGTCCATTACTACTGCCTTTTGACCTTACCTGGGTGCTAAATGGCACAGCCTAATGTCCATTCAGCGTTACTTTTATCCATTTATAAAGAACCTTAACACTGGCTGGGTTTTTTGGCTTGCTGGTGAAATTATACTCATTAACTCCTACACAATAGTGTTACGGCTGTGTACGGTCGAATGTGGGGTTATCCTTGTTTCGGCTACCATGCTGTCATAAATAATGATGACGAATTTAACAAAAGAGATACATGCTTAACAGTAGTGGTCAGCGAAATCGCATTTTAGCTCAGATGCATATGAATAGCTGGAGATATGCGTTTCGTGTCGTGTTTGCATTTTCCAAAACAGGCTTACGGTGTGTTGCATACATGCACAAATTAATTTTATATTCCTCAATAGACTTATTCGTCTTTGGCATTTTGTCAAATAGTATACTTGACGATATGTCGTTACCATTGAAGCCATTACCCTGAGTTCAAATTAACATTCATGGAAAGTCTGAACGAAAATTATGCATTGTAGCATACTTTCCTCCGTGGCGTTATAATAGGATTTTAGGAAGCAGCTTAATTTAATTTCAAGAAAATAACGACTAACCAAACATACTCCGAGATATGGCTTTCTAGAAGTGTAACCGGTTAACGTAACGTAATTTCCTCCTACTGTTTATGGGTGTCCATAAGCGCACTCGGGGTTTGATTCGAGATAAATTCCAGCTAGATAATCATTCCCGTGATGCTAAAGCCCTTGAAATTGATTTCGTTTATTTATTTAGGCAAAAAATGATTATTTTCCATGCACTATTACAAATAATGTATCTTCAGCGCAAATGCAAAACTATTGATTTTTTAAACATTTGATCATCTGACAGTTTCCAAAAGCATAAAAGATTATTAAAACTCACAAAAGGTTAGCAGTGCTACTTTGAGTTATGCCTTCCACAAAAAGACATTATACCTACTTTTAAGAGTTGGGTAACAGATAAAGAATTCAAGGTGTGCGAAGGATTTTTTGATGTTTGGAATACATTCTCGAGTAACGGTCTTACTTTGGCCTAGAGAAGCTCATAAAACAGTCAAGTTGACTTCTTTTCATGCAGTGGATTTTTACAATCAAAGCCTAAATATAATTAAATGACAACAATAAGTAAATTTCAAGTAATCACATCGTCACAGAAGTGCTTCATCTTGATTTATGGTTGCTGTTCACTATTTCCAATGAACATTTTCACCAAAATCAATTTCAGAATGCCTATGCTATATATACTAAGCATTAATACTGATTTGAAAAATTTCATCTGATACTACGTCCTGCCACGAACGATAAATATGTTGCTTTTAGTGTGATCAGCAGCAGCTTGTAACCACTTATTATTGGAGCTAAGCTGATATTCGCTTTTTCTATAATACAATTTCGGTTCCCATAGTAAACGAATTATACAGTAAATTCATAATTACTATCTGGAACAAGAAACAGCTCTTTCAATGTGTACTTGTGCATAGCGGCAACTTCAATGTTGAGCGTCAACTTTGGGTGTTGTGGGATTACTACTAACTGGTTTGATTAGCATTGAAGTCCTGTAGATCGTGGCAATGTTTGCCTTCAAATGGCTACAGAAAAATGTATGCTGGAATGTTGATTGTAATGCCATGCTTTAGAAACAAAATAATTCATTGTCGGAATGTGGTGACCCAGAATTACGTATTGAAAATGGCAATAGTCAACCAAATGTATATGAGTATAAATTAATTTACTGTACACTTATGTAGAACCAAGTTAAGCTGCCCTACTTTGAGTCGTGCGACCTGGGTCTGTTGAAGGAAATAATAAATGAAATTGACCCGAAATATTTCTCCTCGAATATAGACTGTGGGCGTTTTGAAATTCACGTAAGCTACTTACGTTAGCCTCTTTTGGTAAAATAGACAAAAACGTTTGTGCTTTTATCCAGTGTTACGTTAACTGAATTGTAGAACATCCTTGGTCAAGATTACCGTGACGGGAAAGTCATTGGCGATCGTGTCAAGGTTTTGGAAAAGCAAAGCGTTGCGGTGTGCCGCCACTTGTCCCATCTGATCCTTGAGAGGCAGCCACATTATCAGCGTGAATTTAACAATGTCATGCTTTTGCGAGAAATGAACGGGGATGCCTATGAGCAGTGCATTGGAGCTCGGAAGTGCGTTTTTACCTTATCTTGCCATTGTTGTTTCCATATTGACTCTAAGCCATTAATCGGCAATTCAGGTCTCTTGACAATTTGTTGAAAAGCATCGTGGAGCCTCATGCACTGGTGATTCGGAACCACAAGCGGCGTCTTCGATTAAAACTCGTGTTGGAGGTTCTTAAACGAATTCGCACATTGCAAAACAATGTGACCACCCTGTATAAGCTCATTAAGGTAAGCCATTTACATGTCCACTTAGATATCAATTAACTTCTGTAATTTTTCTACAGGAAAACCGATTTTGTGAGGCGATTTCTTTACACCGACAAAGCTGTCAGGTTACGGAAGACTTCAAACCCTACGGTTGTGTTGAGTAAGTTTGCAGTTTCTATTTTGATGCTTATGACGTTTGTCCATTACTTCTACTCATAAATGGTGAGTCCCGTTTTACAAATGATGGTATTAGTTTTTGGTACTGTACTAAGTATTCCCGAAGCGATTCTGAACTTTGTCGCTATGCGCACTGATTTGCTCTGACTTCATTATTTTGCGTTAATGGCATTTTCTATTTGTCAATAACTAATGTTACCTATTTTCGGTGGTTAATTTTGGAGTTATGTCCACCCGTGAATATGATGGCACGTACATTATGCAACAGTCATATAATTGAAGTTGAACAACTGAAAGTTTTGCTGTAAGGAATTTGCAGATGATTGTTCTCATCTGAGAAGCCAATTGAATGTCCGTTTTGTAGTTCAAAACAGTTGTTCATGCGCATTTACGTCCTTGCAAGATATATCGGAAAATCATTGACTGCTACTAAGTTTCCATGATAGGTAAACGTGTTAACTATCTGGATTTAAGCCTTAAAAACTATTCCAAAGTTGTTCTGAGCGTTTTTTTTTACTAAATTACTGAATGAGTTTCAAAGCATTAATTAGACTTCTGGAAAATTTCGTTGATGAAAACCAATTACAGCAGATGAACTTAAATAGTCTTTACACTGTCCATTTCCGTGAGGGCTTAAGAAAAAACTGTAGATTTGGGAGTGACGTCGTATATCGTGACGCTATCGAAACCAATCGCCTTTTCCTCTTCACATAGGTCATTGCAGCATTGTTTGCGTTCTGCCAATCTTAAGATTGACGATGCCCTTGATGCTGTTCTTGCCAGAAGCTGTGAAAACTTCGACCCCGTCCAGTACTCGATGATACAGAAAGCGTTTGCGTAAGTTGCCTGCTGTGCTTATTTCAAGCTTATTGTCGCCGCTTGTGGGGTGTACTGTTGGCATGTTTCGCCTGTTTCCAGACGGCTAGGCAGCACAATGACGACTGTAGCTCAGCTGCAGCTTCATTACACCAAAACAATTCACACCTGCGCCGCCTCCGCGGTAGCGAATTTTGTCGAGGGAAGCAGTGCCACTGAATCTGGGAACAGTGTCGAATTTGAGCATCTCTGCGAGGTGAGAATGTGTGCTTTATCAGTCAAATTTCACATGGCACCTACGCTCGTTTTCACCACCATGGTGTTGATGTTTAAATGTGCAAATTGCACACACACACACACACGGGAAACCGATCGGCTACACCTTTTTCAGGCAATTTCTGTTGTATGTCGACATCGGCGTTGTGATGGTGAGTTCGCTAATGTGTATTCGGCTTTGCCTTGTTCCAATGCAGTCGTTGAGAGGGTGAAGTTGCCTCGTTTCCCAAAACGACAAATTGTTCATTGCTGAATGCTGTTCTGCAATTGGTCGCATACATCTACCTGCTGCTCGCAAAATCGGTGTCGCTTATAATTTGCATGGTCAAATTGATCTGAGTTGCAACTAATCTTGAGCGTGGCTTAAGTTTGACTCCTTTTTCACTGTTGATGGGTTCTCACTAGAGTCTTACTGCTGCCAGTCTCGTTCCCGCCCTGTCGAGTCTGTGTAAGGCGCTCTGGAATGTTCTGGTTTGCTATCACCGCACTGCCCTCTGGCACGACAACGCCTCGAGGAAGAGTGACGTCTGCGAGGTGCCCGGCGATTCCACGAACCCCGTCGACGCGAGCGACGAGGTCCACGCACCCGAGCTGGTTAGGCAGTGGCACGGCTACGTAGCCTCCAAGCTCAACTTGAACCGCGGCCGCGTGTGGATGGACGTCGTGTCGAGTGTTCGTCCCGTCCTCGTCGCCATCGCCTCCAACGCGAGGCAGCTTGGTTTCCAGGAGATTGTGTCGACGCTGAATATTGTTAATCGGTGCGTGGCATTCCCCCCCCTCCCCTATTCCACCTGTGTCACGCCTCAATTCTCACCTTTGGCTTTTGAAACAGATTGGTACGTGTTGGCGAGGAGTTTGCTGGGCACGTATCCTTCGACCTGCAGGAAGTTCTTCGCAACTCCATTCACGGTTTCTTCAACGAATTCCACCGCAAACACATGGAGCATCTGCGCTTGTTTCTGGATCACGAAAGATGGGAACAGGTCCCCGTGCGACCGGGCTTCTCGCTTTTGGATTTGCATGTGAGTTTTGCCACAGCATCCCTTGCAGCGTCCTCCTTACTCTTTCGCTAGTATTAATTTCCTCGACGCTAAGTTGAACCAATAACGAATGTCGCCACGTGGCTTCACCCCTGTCACCTAACTCACATGCAACTAAAGTGCCGCTGAAAACGCAAATGTAAGCTGGGAAATGCAACTTGTGCTCTCATTCTGGACGTCTGCAAGGCAATTTTTGCGTTCCTGTTTACGTTGGCATACCTGAGTGAATTCGTGGTAAAAATTTGTCATCATGCTACCTTTCTACAGTTCGGTTTGCCTACCAATGCACCAATGAGCTTTGTGCCTTTCACCTTTTTGCTTACGGCCTAATTTCGTGTCTCTATTGCCCATTTTGCAGGAGTTTCAGCCATTAACTGATCTGTTCACAACGAACGAGGACAATTGCTCTGCGGACTCCGGGTTGTCGGCGTAAGTGCTGCTCCTAAACCTTTTTTTTACCTCGTTTTAAGTGGTGTACGGTGAAGATGGAATAAGTGCCTTGCTCCACGAGCCTCAGTTATATGTTCACGGGTTGGCGTACGCGACCTCTCGTGTCTTGTCTTGCTGTGACCCACCAAGTCGGCACACTGAACTTGGCCTTGTAGGCTTTAATTTGGGTTTTTCATGAAATGACACTAGTGCACACCAATTACTCCTCTCTTGTTTAACGCAATCCACCCTCACCCCGTCAAGTTTTGTCCCCATTTTCCTCAGCGCCTCACCGACACGTGAGAAGCTGTTCAAGGAGCCCTACGATTACAGTCTCTTCGATATCGCAGGTGAGGACAAATTCGGTGAGCCCAAAGTTCCCGTGGACGCTCCTTCACCCCCTTCCCAAAATTTAGAAAGCTCCGTGGTTGATCTCAACTCTGTGAGTCCATGTAACAAGATAACGTTTTTTCTTTCATTATACAAGGCCGTAGCCATTGTGTTCCGCAAGACTCACCCTAGTTGAAACTGCGCCAGTTGCCTTATATCTTGTGGAGTTGTGTTTGATAGGGTTTTTACTTCAGAGCATATTCGCTCGCTGGAAATTCAGCGACTGTCTAGCAAAATGCGCAATCAGTTACCTGTTCAATTGTTGTGTAGTGGGATTTTGGGGCTTTCACGGTTAGTCCGGCTCTGAATGGGCCCATTTCAAGGGGCTTGCTTCGCTCCCGTTAGTGTGCTGAATGTCCTCACTCGACATTCCATTCCTCGCACTCCCTTTGCGCGAGTAACTGTAGCCTGCCGGTAGAACCTAATGATGGTCCTGTTGTGGGCCCCAGCATGTGGTCTTGAACCACGCTGGGGCCACGGAATTAACCCTGGTCCGATTACGTTTCCCTGATACCCGCGGTGAAGAAAAAGACCGGAGAGGACGTGGGCACAATCGTTTACTTCAGAGCTCCACCACGATGGTATCGTTGTGTCGTGTGTGGGGTTTGCGCGTGTGTATTTATACCTCGGGTGTGTGAGTCATAGATGCGCTAGCATTGTGACCTAGGTGTGAGGATAATCCAAGATAAATATCAGTGTGAATGAGGGGGGAATTGAGGATCCGCGCGGCGGGCGACATGCTGCGAAAAGGGGAACCCTGTGTCGGAGGTGGAGCGACCGGATCAAGGGGTTGAGTAAGCACGATTCACAACAGTCCAAAAACACTGGTTTGTATGACCACAAATCGACCTCTTGGCTTTGCTGTACTCTTCGATTAATCAAAACTTCAACGCAGGTAACACTTGCTTGCAGAACTCGTCGTCTTCACGCGAGCCAAAACCTGCTCCCTCGGAATTGGTCTTCGCGAACACGACAATCGAGGTCCTTCGCTTGTTTGGTAAGTTCTTAAGTAAAACTCATCTATACTACTTGTTACACCACCTCGCATGCGTTGGTTGCTTAATATTGCAATGTTAAGAAGTCTTTTGTAATCGGACTTCAATATTAGCTCAAGTCATGCCCCCTTTTCCTTTCGGCCTAATACGCTCCACAATGGAGTTGTCGTTTTACCGTTGAAGCGAATCAAGTGTAGTTATTCCTGCCAGCACTTTTCCTCGCATGTGAAACGGCTTCCTCGCAGAGTGTTCCAGGAATTGCCAAAACTGACGTCCCGTTGGCGTAAAGTCTTGTATTGTCATCGCATTTCTCCTAAATCTCCAAAGATGTGCCAAAGTAGTCCAAGCCATGCTATGCCTCTGACTAAGTGTGTGATGAGGTCGGACTGTTGGTGTGTTTGTGTGTGCATGAGGCACGCCCTTTTTTCCGCCGTCACTACAACTCACCGTTGATGGTTTTAGGTCGTTACCTGCAGGTGATGCGTTTGCTGCAACCGATCGCGAGCGAGGTCATGCACTGCATCGGCCAACTGTTCGACTACTACATGTTTGTCGTAAGCACACTGGTTTCTATTCCTTACTCTTGCCACACACACTGCCCCCCTCCCCTCGCCTTTTTAACCCCAGCCCTCTGTTTTAGGTGTATAATCTCTTCGGCAAATCTTTTGTGAGTTGGAGTAAATCTACTTTTTTTTTCATGCATTTTCGTTATTCATTTTGCCATCTTGTCATTGCCCTGATTAACAGGAGACTGTTAACCTCACAATTGTCAATCTGTTGCACTGGCCGGCCGAATTCACCCTTAATGCCCTGGTTCTCACTTCGATGGAAATCATGCTTTACCTGTACCGACAGTGGTGGTGGTGGTGGTGGTAGTAGGTAGATACACATGGACGAGTTTGTTTATCCGGTGTTAGATTACAGTCAACAATCCTCACGGTAATAGGCCGCTTACCGAACGTATCCCTGAATGGCTCTGCTATGCGTCCATTATTTGTCACAGTCGATGTGTTATTCCGTTTTGACCACCCTGGTCTGGTGTACGATTTGTTGAACTCTGCGCGCTTTAGACATCCCGAGGCGATGCCGATCAATTGCCGGATCACTTGAGGAAAGCCCTCACTCGCATTTCCAGCCGTCTAATAGCCCCAGCTGGACATCCATCCGTGGAAAAGGGGGTGAGTTTTCCTGCCTCATGATTGTCTTGCATCACCAACTCTCCGCGCATGTCGTTACCTCGTCGTGTTGGGTGGGTTTTGACAGCACAAATGTCAGGCTTATCGTAGTATCTAAGTCCTTGCCTCTAGACTATGATTCCCTCATGCACTATAACTAACACTCATTGCCTTACTCAGAATCGTTTCGTGGTGCCTGATTGCATACTTGCCACCTCGACCAAGCAGCTCAATGGCAAAGCAGCGGACATCTCTGACCTCGGCGAAATCTCCGATCTGCTGCAGCGTCACCTTGTTGGCGCGGAGTCCCTGGTCTGCCTGTCGAGCGTCCTCGAAAAGGCAAGTACCAGATTTAGGGATAATCCTTGATGACGTGGACGATCTGTTGAATGACAGCTCCATTCCGTGCAATAAGCCAGTTGGTTGTGCTAGCGCTGAGCCGCAAATAACCGCAACATTTAGTCTACAAATGCTCTTAGGCAGTAAAGTGCCTGTAGTATCATGGCTAGACAACCACAAAACCGATGTTTCAGTTCTGTCTCGTTATTTTTTTATTGTTGCACACAGTTACTGTCGGTAGTGATTGTAAAGACTTTGATTGACACCACTACCTGCTTGTTTTTTGAAAGTAAAATGAAAAAGACACAACAGCTCCTTACCTAGGGTTGTTATTGCTGTCGTGAGTTGATTTTAATCGTCGTCAGAGGTATTTAGACTGACGTAGCACCCGGTAAAGTTCTCGCAATAACGTTTTTTTGGTTTCATCGGTAGATTGTCTGAACGAGCAGTCAAGGGGACATGGTTCACTCGCTAGGATTAGTTTTACCGATTATAGTACGACTCCTGGTTGAACGATTACGTTACTACTGATCGTTACAATTTTGCGTAAATATTGGTTGTCACAGGTGATGATTTTGTGTACGCACTTGGGTGAAGTAAGACAATTCGGTTTTAACCATTGGACTTCAGCAGAGGATCAGCCGGATCACAATGGTTGAGTGAATTAACAAGGGTCACCACACTTAAGATGTGCTATTCTTTCTCAAGGATCTTCTTCCCCATCTTCGAGAATGCCTGCCCGAGAGTAAGCGTGGCCTCTTAGACGTCTTCCGCGACCAGTCCCTCGTCACGACCTTGGAGGTTCGTGATGCCACCGCCGTGCGTCTGGCGTCTCGCATTTTGCCTCGCCTCCTCGTTATTTGCGGGTAAGCGGGTCCAAGTCCTTTGCTCATGCCTCGCTCCACTACTGGACCCTCCAGCATGTCCACCTTTTGCAGGCAATCGAAACGCGATTCCAACGACTCGTGTCAGGACCTCACTGGTCTCCTTCGCCAGATGATTGCCGCGAATCCCCGGTGGACGTCGAAAGCCGTCGCGACCGAGCCCAGTCCCTACCTGCGGCAGGTGAACGCCGCCGTCGCGCGCCTCTCCAGCACCCTCAAGGCTCTCCCACCGCTGGGCGGGTCGGCTGCACGTCGAGCGCTGTGGAAGGGCGTTATGTGTTGGCTCTCCATGGAGCTTTTGGAGGGACTGGCCGGAGTGCTCGACTGCTCTGAGGAGGGGCGCAGTCAAATGCTCCTCGACATTCAGTCGGTTGCCTTGCTCTGCGAAACCGAGGCTGGAATCAGGTCCGTCGTCTTGCTCCTCCTCCTCCTTCCCTTGACCTTTGTTTTCAAGCTGAATGAAGATGTAGCTGCCAGTTGCGGAGCAGGGATGCCTGATAGCGACCACCAAAGCCTTGCATTTAAAGCCTTATCCACAAAGAGCAACTCACAGTCGAGATCGATATACCAATGCGCCGAGCAACTGGACCTATTCACACACCGAACATCTGAATAGTGCCAGCTATCTATCGTTAATCAGGCCAAATCGCTTACATCAGCTGTCGTAAATTATGCTTTTCCCGTCTTGTTATAGGCCCTTTGTAAATCTCAACATCTTGGTCGACTACGTCCAAGCCTTCTTTGTCCCCACACGTGAATGGGGCCACTGGTTGGAAAGCACTGGCGTGAACCGCTACACCCAGAGCCAGTGTGTTGGTCTGGCGAACTGTCTGGCCAGGGGCGACAAGCACCTGCGACAGCGTCTGGTCGCCACGGTGACCACGGTGTACGCGCGACACCCTTCGTCTTCCGCCGGTGTGGAGTCTTGAAGCCGTGTCGATTCTTCCACTGATGCCTTTGGCACGCACCTCAACCTTTCGTATCGCCGCCACACATTCCAGCAGAAAGACGTCATTTTCTTTTGCCTTTTATCTTTCCTTGTCTTGTATTTCATGTTTCCGGTGTGATATGTGATGAATTTTTGGATGCTTTTTATCATGTCTCTTGTTCTACGCACTGGCAATATGTAATGTCGCATAGGTGATCCAGTGCCGTCCAACAGGTCGGGACTGTATGTGTGTTTTGTTTGCCGCTGCAGAATTACAAAACTAGGAATCGCTTCCATGTCGTCATTATTTGTTTTTAGGATGTGGCTCCTTGATTTTATACTTATGAGAGTGTTGGGTTAGACTACGGTGGGGTGATTACGTTAAATTTCAAGGTGAAGTTGGATGCGGCAGAACGTATTCTCGATTGCTGGGCACTGAAATCAACTTGAACTTGCACGCATTGAAGGGCCTTGTTGACTGGCGTGATTGCTATTATTTGATGCGCAAGTTAAGCCTTTTTAAGCGAAATGCCTTGAGTGAAGAACCGTACGGCATTCCTGGAAATAAACTCGGGCTTAGCCTTCGGGCCTAAATATTTGCATGACGGTCACGTCTCAAATTTGCTTTTCACTGTCAATTTGAAGAGGAGATGGAAGTTGAGACGATCATATCGCACTTGAAGTTATTCCCCAGAGGAGTTTGTTGTGACTCGAGTTGATTCACAGTCGTTAATTAGGCCACTCAAGCCTCCGACACACATTTCCCAGCTGCAAGGATCCTCAACTCCCCCTCATTCGAACGAAAATTTATCCTAGATTATCCTCACACCTAGCTCATCTAAGACTCACATGTCTAAGCTAGAAATACACGCGTAATCGCCACCCATGGCACACACGACAACAACGTCGTCGAGTCCTCGAACCAGCGGTTGACTTTCTGTCCCTCCGCAGACTTTATCCTTATTAGGTAGTTAGTGGTATATGGCGCCGCAACAGATTTTATTAAAAAAACGATCTATTTAGGTTCGTGGGCGCAAAAAATTCTCAAATTAAAAAGCAATTTTATCTTCTAAGACACAATTGCTGGGT